ATACATATTATAAGATGATATAACTTCACGATTTATTTAAATCAACGATTATAATTTTATACAACTAAAAAAATACCTCTTAAATAATAATTTATTTATAACTGATTAATAATTTTGATTTTTAATATGAAAATTTAATGAGTTTATAATCATGGTTCACACGGGATATAAACTAGTATTATTAATAAAAGAATAGTTCATACAATCAACATGATTCATCCACGTCGGCTTTTGCTACGTGTCCTTCTAAAATGCATTTGGTTCAATTTTAAATTCATAATAACATACCAAAGTACCATATATGCTTACCAAACTACCAACAATTTCGATTTCTATTTACTTTAAAAAGCTAAATACATTTAATAGATTCTACACTTAAATTATGTACATTTTAAATGAAGATAACACCTATTTTCCATAGAATCTGGAATCCATAGTTACATCTTGCATAATATCATATGTAAATAAGGTGATATCGTAACATACCACCCAGTAAATAAGGTATTTCAAAAAAAAAAAAAAAAAAAAAAAAAAACAAACAAATAGGCATTCCAACTAAACATCTGGTATCACTTCCTTAACTAACGTGATAAAATAATATCTCTCAGGATAATTCGATTAACTTTCAATATTTGTAACCTTATTAACGATTTGCAAGACATACTTATACGGATATATACCTGCATACACTGTGATACTTAAACTCTTCACACTTTTGTCATTCGTTTTACAACTCTTTCTTCTTTGTGTTTCTATGAAATCTGCCAAAAAACAAGTTCAATACATCATGTATTTCATTTTTTCTTCCTCTTTCTTTCTTACTGTTTTTACTTTTTTATTTTCTATTCCATTTGTTTATTGTAATTTATTCGAAATAAAAAAGTGTTTTTTGATCAATTTTATCCTAATTTCAAAATAAAAGAAAAAGAAACATAAATTCCTAATGTGCAAGAAAAATAAAACCACCTACTTAAAATCATATTTGCTTTCAGGCTGCAAGACCTCTCTAAGCAGATTTAATAATATTAAGGTGATGGTAGCAAGCCTTTTGGATTCCATCCTGATGAGAAAACATGCAAATACACAAAACTCATGTTATAAACCTTTGTGTTAAATAGAATGTTGCAAAACAATTTTTTTTTTGTTAACTTTACACTCGATGTTATCATCCTATCCAAAGTAGGTTGTTATTTTAAGATATTTTCCAACTTCGAGACTCTTTCAAAATAACAACCTATTTTGAAAAAATCTTAATATAAAATGTTTTGGTTTCATGCTATTAATTTGGTTTTTTTGGTTCATATGCATAATGTAGACAATCTATGATGGGTATTTTGGTAATTTGAACACAATTATGATGTCAATTTATGTCTTGTGGCTACAATAGGTATCACCTTCCTGTTTTGACTTGTCATAATTCTTTTTTGAGTTTCCTTAGATCTAGAACACACAAAGTTTATAAGGTTGAAAGTTAGTTGCTATAAATTTCTATAAAAAAAATTATTAGTTCAGGTAACCTAAACAAATTCATGCATATTAATTAGCAAATGACCTTAATTAATACAACCATCAACCAAATAAGCAACTGCTTTCTGTCTCTTGTAGCAGTGAAAGTTGTGAGAGGTTCATAAACAGTGTATAATTGTTGCAATGATTTTGGTACCTAAAGACACAAAAATTGCAAGAGAAAACTATTAAAAATACAATTTTTGAACAAATTTAGGTACCCAAATCATTACAATTGATAAATGGGCAATTTTTTTACAAAGTTTGGGACTAAAATTGCAAGACTAAACTATTAGGGACCAAAAACTCTAGAAACTATTACGTGAGCTCGTTCCATGTTGTTATGGAGCCGGATGGGAAATCGTATAATCATTCTTTCGTTGTATCTTGAAGTGAAAAGGAAAATGCACTCAACTTTATCTGCTCCCCAGTGATGGCATGTGGCTTCATTCCAGAACAGACCACATGAAATTTATGTGGGTCTTTGTTTTTTAGGCCTCAGAATATAGATAGAAGATGCATCAGCCTACAGTTCAGTTCGAAATTTTAGGCATCAGGAAAAGTGATACAAAGAGGTTATTGAGTGACCTCTTGAGTAGCCCACTATCAAAGAGTCCTCTATTCGTTGTCTGCGTCTCCCATGGTTCAATTGTCGAAATCTGATTCAGAAGGGTCGATGGTTTCGAATTTGACGGATGATAACGGATATGTTTTGTATGGGCTTTGAAAAAGGTGAAGATGAAGGTGCTTTTGGGAAAGATGTGAACATGAATTCAGGTTTATACCATAAGGGATTGCCTTGTGGATCAATTTTCTCCAAGGTTAGAGAAGATGATGGAGCATAGAACCCCGTTGAGTATTTTTGTTGTATCACTTTTTTCCTTAGTTTTATTATTGTCTTCTCTATTTCAGGATCAAGCCTTAGTGGTGTACTTGTACATGAAGATCTTGGCATAAACAATTAGTGTTTGTCGTGTCTCTGACAACGGCGCCAAGTTGTTAAGCGAATCGTAAGTGCCTAAACAAATGAATAAGCGGTATAAAAGTTACTTCTTGGTTGCACTAATGGGTAGTACATGAAAGCAGGGTCGAATCCACAGGGAGACGTCCTAAAGGTCTACGCTCTTTTGATGATTAATACTAATATTAAAAGTAAATTTATAAAAATACAACTAATAACTTATGGAAATTCATATTATTATAAGCAACTGCCACGGTGACTCTCCTAATCATGCAAATAATCATCAATTTGATTGTTTGAATTGTGCTCTGTCTAAACTAGTACTGAAAATCATTAACAAGCACTAATAATCTTCTTTTTTCCAAATTGTTTAATCAAAATATTTTCTTTGAGTTAAATTTTGTTTTTTACTAAGTTAATTAAACAGACTCTTAATTAATTTAGAAATGTGTCATTAACCACAATGTAAAATTCCCATTAAATTGAAATACTTCTGATAGGCTCAGAAACGTAAAAACTTATTCGATCGTTTTATATTAGAGTTAAATCCTAGCACGGAACCAATCTAATACCCGTTACTTATTACAAGTTAATTAAAATGATTACGGATTGATTTAATACCAATTCAAGTGGCCAACAAAAACTCAATCGAAACCAAACATTCATGTAAGCACGAGACCAATCAAACTAAATAGAATCCACAACCAAAAATCAAGCCTAATGATTACTTGCACGAAAAGTCAAGCCAATGCGAAACTGAAATCTGGGGTATTTAGTCGTACATGGATAAAAATGAATTACAAACAGTAAAAATAGAGTCTAAACGATAAATCTTACTAAACTAGGTGAACGAGTCAAACTGCAATCTTCAGATCTCGAAATTCGTTGGAAGACTTCAGAAAATCGCCAAAAATTCATTTACATCAATCTAGGGTTCAACTATTTTGGTATTTATATAGTAGGCTTGGTAGTAAATAAAGGCTCTAGCATAAATCACAAACTGTGTTTGGAGGCCAGTGGAGTCCATAAGCATTTAAATGAAGTACATTTCCAAAACGAGAATATTTTTAGACGCACGACCTGTTTTGTGTGAGCAGGTCGTGCCTTTCGGATACAGAGAACCAATCTTTAAATTTTGAAGATTCAGGAAAATAGTCATCGGGGAGTAAGCACTGCTTGTGCTAGGTCATAATTGCCAAAAATACGATATAGAATGAGATTAAATGTAACCAAAAAGATGCATAAAAATGCATCTAACAATTGTTTAGCGAACTAAATCGTAGGTCCATTTAATTAGAATAGTATCATATTTGTGTTATACATTATCTTATCAGAAAGTATTCTACAAAAATAAGTAATAATTGTGCAAAAAGAATGAAATAAAGTATAATACAAGTATTATAATGTAATAATATGGAAACAATCTAAGTAGAGTTTTGGTATGGGATGTAGTTGTTCAGAGAGGGAGTTCATCTTGGCCACTTCAATGGTTTTACCTTGTGTTTTGCTGCTTCATGTGAGTTCTCATGAACTTACTTATTATATGGACTATGTATTATTTGTGTGTTGACTAGAGGACAACCCCTCGGAGAATCTAGTTGGTTTCATGACCATGACATGCCTTCAGGAAAGTGGTCAAAGTTTGGATGATCATGACAGCCCTTTGAGGAAGTGATCAGTCCCAGTTGGCAGTGTCCGAGACAGCCCTTCGGGGAATCAACCTGCTGGAGTAGGGTTGGTACCAACAATATGTGTTAGGAAATATACATATGTTAGGTGATAGTATGTAAGAAATATGTTATTTACTATTTGAAGTTTATGTGTATAAAGTAAAAATGCATATGATATGTATAATGGGTGAGTGTTATGATTACTCACTAAGCCTTTGGCTTACAATTGTTACCTTATGTTTTTAGTTGCAAGTCCTTCAAGTTCGAAGGGCAAGGAACTGACATGGTTGGGATTTTTGGACATTCTTGGATGGTCGAATCATTTCTTCTCTTTCCCTAAAAAAACTCAGACGGGGAGTTAAGAGTATTTTGGTCTTTAGTAAAAGAAATTAATAATGAAATCAAGTTTATTCTACCTTCTCTTATGAATGGTACCTCCTATGAATGGTGAGTTCATGATATATTGATATTATTAAATTTTGTTCATTTGGCAACCAAAAACGCATCGAATGTAATCTCAAATTCCAATTCCATCAAAATTCACAAACAAAACAAACCCAAAACAACAAATTATCTATCAAACGAATATGGGGGAGAAACATAATTGCTCAAAGATCATGGGGCAACATAGGAACTTCAAAAAAGTACTATTTCCAAAAACAAAAAATGTGGCCAACCTAATTTAGGGAAATATGGCTAGCCAAATCCAATAAAGAATGATTACACTTACAAACTTAGCAAAAATGCAATCCAAATCAAAATGACACGAGTTAAAATGAATGAGAAAGAAAAATGCATATAATTATGCAATGATCACAACTTCTAGGGTTCAAATTCCATCAAAGACTACCACAAAACCACCATCACCGCCTCCGGACAGCTGCACTTTGCCCATGATGGATAGCCCTAACCGCCTGCTGTGGTGGCATATCCACCTGTTCCTCCACCATGTTCGCGGATTGGTTGATAGCATTCATGACAATAACAACAAGCGGCATCAAATACATCCACTGAAAAATTATCAAGTACATCATGTTATCATAAACACAAGTAGTTTTCAAAATAATTAAGTTGAAATTAAAATATTCATGACTCACATATTTAGCCAAAAAGGATCTCTCTATTGGCTTTACCCCTTCATCCTCTCCCATATCACCACCAATGATATGTTCAGAAAATATTGGCGTCCTGTTTGAGTTGACTCAAGGAATTTTAAAGGCTGAAAATGGAGTTATGAAAAGAGGAAGATATTAAGAATTTGACCTTGGTGTATATTCACTGTACTTTAAAACTGTGTGAGAGTTGAAGGTCCACTTTGAAGGCTGAAAATGAATAGAAAGCATGACATGTCATATATGACATTCAAGTTAGTGGAAGTCACTGAATATTTAAAAACTCAAATGATATAAATGTTTAAATACATTGGTCTAAAAGAGAACACAAGTAAATTATATATTTGTGAAAACTTACAATTCTCAATTGCCGATTATATTGGCAAGCCCTAAGAGAACCATAATTAACAGCCAAAATGTGGACACCTTCCTGCATGATTTATATTTTATACCAGATGATGAATAATTATAGAGTAATGAAATGTAAATTAGCATGATAAAATATTAAAATGTGTAACTTTTAGACATTTTTTTTTTTTGACACATTAATGGAAAGGAGAATTACCATGTGTATGATGAAGTGTTCATCCAAGCCATCATTTGGGAGGCACCTCTGAAAGTAAATACAGGATCAGTAAATAGTGTATAAAGTATAAACCTTAATTTCTGCTAAGGATGCTAAGAGTGAAAATATATAACCTAATGTCAAGTTTCAAGCTTACTGCTTTTACTGAGGAGATAACATAAGCCTTTCCAGGAGAATTTAATACGTTAGATGGCACCCTTATCCTGTAGAAATCATCATCTTCAAGTAGTTTCTACAGTAGATGAACATCAACAAGAAGAATTTAAAGTCATACAACTAGTGAAACATAAACAAAAACGTCATTTAAGAAGTAGGTTTGATGAAGAATTACTTTGAACTTCTCCTTCTCTATTGTGCTAAGATCGTTTCTTGAGAATCTGATCTTTGTAAGAGTTCTCTTTAAGCAAAAGAAGCCAAACCAGAAAGAAGTCGATCGTGTTAATAGCTTTATAACTCGTAACATAACAAAAAAGTAGTGTACAAGAGCATACAAAAGTTTAAAGATTGTTCAATTAGGTCACTCGGTGACTTGTGTTTTGTAAAATGTGAGAATTTTCGTGATGATGATCATAAAATTAAACAACGAAATCGATGAAATGATCATAGAATCTGAGTACCTTTCCTCCATGAGATTTGAGGCGAGCAGTGAAAGTGCCGGCGACGGAGAAATCTTCTGAATCTCCAAATGCGTGTTCCAGAGCGAACTGAACTCTAGAGTCTGAATCAGGCTCCGCAGACGTCTTTCGAATGGGTTTTAACGGAGAATGCGAACCAGAAGAAATGGAAGGTGACGATGATGATACGAATTCATGGGAAGGGCGCTCATTTGAATCAAATTGTTCATCGTCCACAATAAGCTCGTCCGATTGAAAAGCTGAAGATGATGAAACCAATAGAGCGAAGGATAGAAGCAGCAAGGCTCCGGTGAGCTTCATTGTGAAGGGTGAGGGTTTACAAAGAGAGTCGTTGCGATTCGATATTTATAGATTGAGGATTGAATTATAGATATAGACCCTGAACTATATGTTACTTTGCATATATATTCCTCTAACATTCCAAGTCGTTCTATGAGAACTTGTATGTTCCCAAATTTTGAGTTTACAACGACTAAAATTTCCTTTAGGAGTATCGAGTATCATGTTTGTTAGATTTCATGGGGGTGTAGACTAGAATATAAAACTACTTGTTATCCTCATTCTTTATTTCATATCTACTTTGAGTCTCACATTTATTCAAGTATTAAAAGATACTTCAACTTCATGTTTATATAATAAGATTAGAAGTTAGCTAAATATTCAATTAAGGTTTAGGTTTAAAACCAAAATCAAACCGGAAAACCCAAGTACAAACTGAAAACTGAAACACTAAACCGGTGGGTTTGGGTTCGGTTTGGTTTTAAAAGTTTCAAAACCAAGGCTGTCGGTTTTGTGTTCGATTTTATGTCAAAACTAACCAATCGTATCCCATGCTCACTTGTTGCGATGATACCCGGAAAAAAAATTGGGATACCCTTTTGCTTTGAGTAAGCCAATAGACATAAAACACAAATTCAATAACTATAAAGATTGAAAAAATGGATATTAATTAAGAAAATGGCTGTTTGTGAAATAAATTTGTTTACTCGATAAATGTTCATCATGTAGGTTTGCATGTGTGCGAATGTTTTTCTTATAAAAGGAGTGGACAATTATGGTATTTAAAAGATATCACAACCATTTGAGATGTATGGACACTTGTCATTGTGGTTTTGATTCACGACATCCGTACACCCAAAAAGAAAGCAAATAACTAGTTAGGTCATAGGCAATACTTAAGATTAACGTTGGAGGCATTTGATTGTTGTGGTTTTTGAATTTATTATCATTTCCACCGAACCGCAGTTCATTAAATCTAATACTAAATTGCAAAAATGACTAAACTGCAAATTTGGTCCTTGTGGTTAGTAAAAAAATATAAATAAGATCTAAAATCTTTTCGACTTGCATGATGGTTGATGTAAGTTAAAGAGAGGGTGCATGTTAGGTGGGGTTAGATTTTTTTCTAATCTAAAAAGTACTAAAATAAATAAATAACGAAAAAGAAAATAATAATGGCAAATCAATATTTCCCACAGTTGCTTAGGACCAAAACCACATTAAAAAAACTTCTTCTGTATCAATCTGGTTGTAAAAAATTCTAGATAAAAATGATAATTTTCAACTAAAAACATGAACCATTGTATAATTTTTTTCTTAAATCTACAAATTATAACATTTTATGTAAAAAAGTTTTTTCGGCTACAATTTAAATGTTGGTTTAGGAGATGACAAACCATAACAATAAAACTACGTAATACATAAGTTTTACTCTTAGAAAACGATAAAATTGCAAAAATGGTCCTTATGGTATATATTTTTTTAAGGTTTAATCCAAATTTCGATTTTTTTTTGGATTCGTGGTCATTTTGAGCTAGTTTCGTTGCAGATTTGATCCATCAGTAAAATGAAATGACTTTAATACCATTGGGATATATTTATTTCTATTTTTCTTTCATTTTTTTAAAATCTAATAATTATTTATTTATTTAAACAATAAAAAAATAAGATGGCACATCCCCCCCTCTCTCTCTTTCTCCCTCCCTCTCTCTCTCTCTCTCTCTCTCTTCTTCATTACTTTTCCTTTTCATAACTTTAATGTTTTTTTCCCTATAAAAATCAACAAATGTCTAAAGAACATTAAATTAGATATTGGAATTCATCATCAGAACAAAAACACACACAAATCTCGTGTCAAGCTTTTTCCAAAGAAACCGAGATCTTGTGTCAAGCTTTTTCTAGCGAACATCTGAAGATGTGACTCCTATTCATCGACATGCTTCCCAAGTCCGATGAACCCTTCATTGTCCTTAGGTTTTAAAAACCAGAACCTTATCTATCCTCTCCATCTTTCCCTCAATCTATATATATCCCCTCTGAAACCTATATAATGAAATCAGATGATCTTCTCCTCAAAACCACCAAGACCTTCAAAACACACATACACATACACATCTGTCTACACCAACGAACCACTACATTCATCACTGTAATCATCTTCAATGGTTTAGAATAGAACTAGATTCCTTGCACAACTATACTTTCTGAGAAAACGAAGATGAAGATGATGGTCTGACCAACAACTACAAACATAAATAAACCCAGATACAAAAATGATTACTGGCTAAATAAAAAAAACAAACCTTTTCGGGGGTTGGGTTCTATCGGTAATGCAAAATCAGACCTTTTTGGTGGAAAGTTAAATGCGTCCATGGTAGTTGCTTTAGTTTTTGTAGCCTGTACATCCCTTGGAGACAACAAAATGACTCGGTATGTCATAAACCATATCTGTGATTTTCTTCCTCAACTCATAAATTTCAGACACTCATTTGATGGTTTTGGTTTTAGGATGTTTTGGTTTGTGATTGTGTGAAAAGGGTGGTGAAGTGAAGGAGTTTAGTGTGTGTGTGTGTGTGAGAGAGGGGGGATGGGCCATCTTATTTTTTTATTGTTTAAATAAATAAATAATTATTAGATTTAAAAAATGAAAGAAAAATAGAAAATAAATACCCTAAGGGTATTAATGTAACACCCAAAGTTTTAAAGGCCAAGAAAGGAAAGAAAGCCCTAATTTTAAGGGTCGACTCGGCGAGTCCAAGGAGGGACTCGGCGAGTCCGAGCGGGATCCGGGTCAAGGTGTAAGTGGCCAACTCGGCGAGTCGGCCAAGTGGACTCGGCGAGTCCGGTCTGTGCAAGGAAAACCCTAAATCCGGGACATTGAGCGCTATTTAAGCTTCTTATTCTCTCCATTAGGGTTCCTTATAGCATCCCTCGTTCAGAAAACGAAGCCTAAGCCTCCATTGTTGTGCATCCAAGCTTCCAAGCCATTTTTGGGTGATTTGAAGGAGGAAGAGGGAAGGGAATCAGTGAAGCTTCAAGGATTGGCTTTAGATCTGGAGTTTGTGGAGTCTTTCTGAGGTATTGAAGGTATTAAGTCATTTCCTTCCCTTAGATCTATTTTTGGTTGTGAGTTTTGGGCTTTTTAAGCCATGATTAGCCACCCTTATGGGTTAGAAGCCGGATCTGGAGTTGCTACTTCAAATCCAAGTGTGTTATGGCCTGGAGAAGCAAAAAGTATCAGCCCTTGAGTCGATTTTGAAGCCCCTTGGCCTTAAACCCTAGTTTATGGCATATTTTGCCTAGATCTCCCTCTCTACACGTAAAGTTTGCAACTTTACGTGAGGAATAGGCTTGGGAAGGGTAGATCTACAGTTTAGAGTCCATGCATGACTCAAAAGTCCTCTTCATGTAAGGAGAACTGAAGGGACTCGACGAGTCCTTTGAGTGGACTCGGCGAGTAGCATGAAGTTGTGGAGAAACTCGACGAGTGGGATGAACAACTCATCGAGTCATATGAAGATTGCCTTGTACTCGGCGATTCTGTTCTTGGACTCGGCGAGTCAGGTCGCGAAACCCCAAACCCTTCGAGTTAAGACTCGAATCAGTGAGTCGGGTGGAGACTCAGTGAGTTGGACAGGTAAGGACTCAGAAATCGGTTGACTCGGCGAGTCATGGACTGACTCGGCGATTCGAGTCGCGAATGGAAGGATTTTGAACATTATGAACTCGACGAATCAGTAGGGTTGACCTGGAAGGTTGACCTTGACCAGGACTTTGACTTGGATCAGGGTTGACTTGGTTGTCTTTCGGGGGTCAGTTAGACTCAATGTTGCATTGATATTGGTAGTTCAGGGAGCAAGGGGAGCAGGAGTTCAGTGAGTTGACGGGCAGCAACTAGTGAGATCATCAGCAAGTTCACCCAGTGCAGGTGAGTTTCCCTTTGTGTGAATGGGTCTAAGGCCACAATGCTGGCCCATGTAGTTATGAGTAGAAGACCCGGGGGTTAGCCCTAGGCACAATATGCTAGTATGATATTCAGGACGAGGTCCACTAATAGCGGGCGGGTGCCCAAGGATTCGTTTATATGCTAGATTATACTTGTTGTCTGTGTGATACATGTATGTGCCTGGTAGGGAGGTGAGTGTGGGCGAGGTCTCGTATCTCATCAATAACAAAGTGTGGATGGGGTTCCATATCTCATTAGTAGTAGAACAGGGGCGAGGCCCAAACTAGAACATGAGTGAGAGTGGGCTGGGCCCGTACCTCACTACCACTAGGAGCGTGGACGGGGTTCCATGACTCATTAGTAGCAGTACATGGGCGAGGCTCAGGATAGGCAAGGCCTTAGGACAGAACCAGTTGTATGTGTTTAGTTATGTGTTGTGATATGTTTATGTGATGTTAATTGTTGGCGGGCGAGGCCCTGTGACAGGCGGGGCCTAAGTAAAATAGATATGTATCCGAGCGGGGCTCGAAGCCAGGCGGGGCCTGGAGCGGCGGGGCCGTTGTAGCGAGCGAGGCCCGAGGTAGGGGGCGAGGCCCAAGATAGCGGGCGTGGCCCAGTATGTGTAATATGTGGTTATACATGGTATGTGGTAGGTGGGGGAACTCACTAAGCTTTGTGCTTACGGTTTTTAGTTTTGGTTTCAGGTACTTCCGGTAGCGGAGGGAAGAGCTCGGGGTGATCGCATGGCACACACCATACATTAGACAACCTGGGAATGTTTACTCTGATAATGAACATGTGTTTTGAAAACTTATACTCATATTATGTTTTGGAATGATGACTTCACTTTAAGTAATGATTTATTAAAAGAAATTTTTGGTCTTAAATTTTGGGTCGTTACAATTAAAGTCATTTCAATTTACTGAGAGACCAAATCTGCAATGAAACTAACTCAAAAGGACCACAATACCAAAAAAAAAAATCGAAAAAAATGCATACCACATGAACCATTTTTACAGTTTTGTCTTAGAAAAATAACTTATGTTTGTAAGAAATTTCAACATTTATCATTTTGTGCATCAAGGACTGTTAATGAAAATATAAAAAATACTCGGATAAAAAGTGTATATTAATATATAGTTGATAGACCATATATGAAACTAACTCTATTTCCTCCTCTACGCCATCAAAACAGCAACCCCAACTAAAAGTCTAAAACCTTCAAGCTTCCGTCCGGCTTATTTTGCAATTAGCAGTACTCCGGCGACTTTTTCCCTCCGGCAACCTTCAACAGGTAAATCCACACCATCGATTCGTTAAATCGAAGTCATTACTACTTGCTTTCCTGCCTTTTTTTTTTTTTTCATACTCCTAAAACCCTTATGCAACACACACGCGCATAAATAGTAGTAGTCACATATTCAAATCATGACTCGAAGCATGATAAAACCCTTCTTCAGACATCCATTTACCTACCATGGTAGTGTTTTCACTAAGCTTTTCTCTTCATCATCATCGGTATCTCGTTCAATTGGTATAGCTCATTCAAATCATGCTGTGACAAATAACTTAGATTCCCAATTAAGACAGCTTCTACAAAAACCTAATCCCCAATTTGCAGATGCGGTTTTGCTGTTCGAACAGTCGGCTGAGTTAGGCCTGATTCCTTCTTCTTCCACATGCAATTTCATCGTGGAAAGCTTGGGTAGAAACAGTAAGTACGGTTTAGTTTTGCAAGTTTACAGAAAACTAGCTACCATTGGAGTAGTCCCTTTCTTTCTTTCATATGGTGCTGTAATTGAGAGCTTAGTGCATTTCCAGAAACCAGAATATGCAATTTCTGTTTTATGTTTGATTCTAAAAAGCGGATTCAATGTCAACGTGTACCTTGTTAATCTTGTATTGAAAGGTCTATGTCGCAAGAACAAAATTGATGATGCCATGGGGCTTTTTCATCAAGTTTCTAGCTATGGGTTAGCTCCAGATGAGGTGACACTTAATACCCTCGTTTCTGGCCTTTGCAAGACTAGTAGATATGATGAAGCCTTAGCTTTGAAGGGTAAAATGGAGAATTTAGGTTGTGCTCCTGATTTGGTTACTTACAGAACATTGGTAATCAATCTTTACCAAAATGGAAAGACTGGAAAAGGGAAAGAGATTCTTGATGATATGATGAGTAAAGGATTATCTCCTTCTTTAGACATATATAATCCTTTAATTCATGGTCTTTCTAAAGAGGGAAAGTTCAAAGAAGCCATGGGAATCTTAAATTCCATGATGGATAATGGAATTCTACCAGATGCTGTTACATATACAGGTTTAATCAATGGGCATTGTCTGAATGGGAAAGCTAAAAAAGCTTTAGATTTACTTAATTTTATGATAGAAAAGGGTCAAGAGCCTAATAGCACAACATACATGCAGTTGATTATCAGCTTATGTAAAGAGGGATTAGTAATCGATTGTTTTAAGCTATTGAAAACAATGATGGAGAAGGAAAAGAATCCTTCCATGAACTTTTACAACAATTTACTTAAAGAACTATGTGACCAAAAGAAAGTTGATGATGCATTGATACTTTACAACCTTTTGATTGAAAAAAACGATGTTAATCCCAATGTCAAGACACATAATTTACTCATCCAAGGTCTATGCAAAGAAAACCGTATAAACGAGGCTTCAAAGATTCATCAAAACATGATTTCAAATGGAAATAATGGTAATGTGATAACTTATAATTCACTTATAGACACGTATTTGAGAAATGGAGAAATCGAAAAGAGTATGTTACTATGGAAGCAAATGCTTGAAGTAGGATTAACCCCAAATTCATACACTTTTAGTCACATTATCAACGGATTTTGCAAATTACATATGATTAACATTGCAAAAGGGATCTTTATTCTTATGAGAAAACATAGTCATGTTCCCAATGTGTGTGATTTCAATGCATTAATGTTGGCATTATGTAAGGAGGGTAGTTTAGAACAAGCAACAATGTTGTTTCAAGAAATGGGAAATGAGAACTGTGAACCTGATGTGACTTCTTTCAATATTATAATCGATTCATTATTTAAAGCTGGAAATATGGAGGATTTGACAAAATTACTCATAATGATGCGTGAAAAGGGTGTGGATCCTGATGTGTATACGTTTTCTATATTGATAAATCGATATTGTAAATTAGGGGAATTGGATGAAGCAAAGGGGATGTTGAAAAAGATGGTTGATTTTGGTTTCATGCCAGATAAATTTGTGTATGATTCTTTGTTAAAATGTTTGTGTGAAAAGGGTGAAACAGATGAGATATTCGAGTTGCTTCGTGAAATGGCTAAAAAGGGGATTATGCTTGACTCAAAGTTGACTTCGACTATTTTGACATGTGTTTGTCATGCTTCTGAGGATGTTGATGTTATGGAGCTTTTACCGAATTTTTCACAAGAAAGTTCAGAAACAGGAAGCATTTCGTGTAATGATTTACTTGCAAAATTGTCCACTTCAGTTTCATAAGTCATGACATATATCTTATAATCTTTGGTAAAAAAAAATTTGGTCTTTTGTTATGATTACTTTAGCATAGAATGCAAACAACTTGCTTATGTTTTTTGCACTTTAGAATCATGGGAAATACTTGTATATAGAAAATGGTTTTTTTTTTTTACGACAATTTGGTCATTTAATGAAAAACTAAACAATGTGGCTTAGTTTTAATGTAATCTTTGGGACATGAATTTGAAGGTATCTCCCAAATTCAATCCGGTCGGTATGGCAACCAAACACATTAATTGGAATTTGTGGCTCCAATTCCTTTAGATTCTATCGGACTTTGTAAATGAAGTTGCAAATTAATAACAATCTAAAGAGAAAACGGTTATTGAAAGAAAACTATAATTACAAATAATTGAGTCTTCTTAAAAATATCAACAATCTACAAAGTTGATGGTATACAAGGAAGCGAGATTGTTTCAAGCCGAAAATGATGGCGATTTATAGTTTTTTTGTTTGCTCATGGGAAATAAAATTATTTGCAATCTGCATTTCACTATTATTGCAACAATGAGAAATAACAAGACTTCATCAGCAAGAAAGCCAATGCAACCAACCAATCTCATAGGTAATCACAACCATAGCAAGATACTCGACTTTTGTAGACGGGCAAGAGACATAATCTTGTTTCTTACTTTTCCACGAGATTAAAGAATCTCCAAGGAAAATGCATAAACTAATGGTGGATTTACGTGATGGGTTTTGATACAAAATATAAATTTGTTTTTTACAAAAACCACAATGGAAGTCTTATAAAAATCACAAGTTTATTTTTTAATTTATAAAAAAACCAAACCATCAAGGATCCATTTATAGAGGTTAAAATGAAATAAAAACAATCAAAGAGTTTTTAAAACAATAACATTTGAAGTCTTTAAATCCACTTGGTTTTAGGTTGTTGATAAAGATAGCATAAATCAAAGAATATGATTTTTCTATGGTATCCACCATAAAGAGTAAAACACTTGGAATGTTAGTTCTTTCTTGTATTCTTGAGTGTTTTAAACCTTTAAGTGCTTAACTTAAATAATTATTGTATGAGACAACTCAAGGAAGCTTTAAATACCAAAGTAAAGCACCAAACTTCAAAAGAAATGAAGCTCTTCATATTTACGCTTTTAAAGAGAGAAAAGGGAAGAAAGAAATACCAAAAAGACTAGCTAGTTTTGTAGCCTTTAGAAGAAAGAAAGGAAGCTCTTCATGCTCATGGTTTTACATTAAAATACTCTAAAGTATTTGTAGCATTTAGAAGCATAGAGAGACAAAGCATGAAGGTTGACAAATAACTTTCATATTTCTTTATTAAATTTGGTTATACCTTTCAGAAGAGGATGTATTCTTTAAATTTTATAAACACTAAGTTTATAAAATATAAACTTTATCTTTAGGTAAAAGACAAAAGAATCTAACAAGTCTAAAAGGTTGTAGATAACTTATTAATTCATACCATATGAAATAATAATTACTTATACTCTCTTATAATTATTATTTTCACAAAACAATAATGATCCCCTTATTAAAAATACAAGAATTGATATTATCTATTAATAATCATATTAATAATAAATATACAAAATGTGGCAACTTGATAAAGGTGTGACACTATAGGATCATATATTATTAACAATATCACCCAATAATGATTCTTGGGTATATAGATTAAACAATCTCCCACTTGCACAAGATTCATTATAGACTGGCATAGATAGTAGATGACGTCTAACAACAGACTACTACCCCTAACAACATATCAATTATTTCGTTGTCTCAGACATCATGTTGAACATGGGATATGGATCGCAATCTATTTTATTTAGTTTTCAACCGTGAGTAAGACATTAGATGTCTAACTCTCAACGAATAAGATGGACAAATCCCATCTTGACTACATATGCCCATTAATGTAGTTCATGTCATACCCAATGAGGGCCCTTATGAATGCCTTTTACGGAACAACGTTAAACAATGTCAAAGCACAACAATTCCTACACTTCAAGTCCCAAATATATATCTCAGGTCTAAGAATACAAAGATACAACCTTGATCAAAACATTACTCATGAATACGATCCATAAAGTGATTTTGATGCGGGTCAGGTCCAATACTTATGCTCCTAATCAAGTATCTACAAAGTTGGTAGCAACTCTTGCTATTCTCATCTCCATAATAATCAACAAATCCACTCATATTAGTCTTACTTCGTAGATGCTCCCACAATTATGAACGACTATGGACATTTAAAATAACCTAGTTATTCAAGGATTTAAACATGCTAATATATAACACAACAATTATTCAGTAAGAGACTCATATCCAATATATCAATTCATTACAATATATGTTGCTTTTATTGTTCCAATATCCAAATACTAAATTTCAGTCAAATGCATCTACTTATATCAATAAGGCCCTATTACACTAGCTTGACTTTCATGCTTTAGCTAATGAATGATCTTTGTTAAGTAGATTTGACAAAATTGATTCGTATAAACTTTGCTAATACATACATTTATAGTTTTATATATAACTCGTATATAGAGAAAACTATTGAGAATATATTAGATGCTTAAATATGACTTAGATACCAATACTTGCGTGATGGGATTACTCCTAGTCATAATGAAATATACATTAAGTATCTTTGTATGTGGTTCTCCAAATCATAATGTACTCTAACTATAAACATAGATTTCTTTCAAATACTTCAGAGATTAGGAATATTTCTCTAGTTCTCGCAAGTACTTTAGAATGTTCCTATAAGTCACATAATGACTCGTTCTCGGGTTATACTAATATCATCCGACATGCTCTAAAAATACCATTTATATAGCCTTTATGCATAATCATGACATATATAATTAATCCAATTGCAACAGTATATTGAATATTGTAACATCCCAACTTTCAAGGCCAAAAATTTCATTTTTAATTACGAGATTCATAACATAGTTTACCAAACATTGCCAATGTCATATCAATTTATAAAAATCACAACAGCGTGTCTGAAGACCATATCATCAAAAGTAATAAAAATCAGAGTACAATCTCAGAAATCTCCATGCGGAATCCATATGAGTGTGTGTTTGATGCTCTGCTACACCGCTGGCTCCTTCCCCTTAGACGAAGAGGTACCTGAAACCAAAACTGAAACTGTAAGCTCAAAGCTTAGTGAGTTCCCCATCATACCCATACCAAATAATGCATAATCATTGGTATCTTTCAACGGGTAACTGGGAGCTACCCTCCCCTTCAGTATCTTTCAATCGGTAACTGGGATCTACCCTCCCTTTCGGTATCTTTCAACCGGTAACTGGGAATTACCCTCCCCTTCGGTATCTTTCAACCGGTAACCGGGAGCTACCCTCCCCTTCGGTATCTTTCAACCGGTATCCGGGGACCATTCCACCCCTGCTATTTACTAATACATATCAAGCACAACAAGCATATCAAATACAATGATCATATCAAGCATAGTAATCATATCTCACATCAATCCTAGATGATTATCACAAAGACAACCATCTACACAACGCCCTTACTGATGGGTCGACATTGTGGCCGTAGACCCACCCCTACTAGAAGGAAACTCACCTCCAATTCGTGTAGTGTCTATACTATCCTCGGTGTGAAAGTCGTCTCTCCTCGACTCCTCAATCCCTACACAACAACCCCTTTAAGTTACAACTTGTACTCACTACCCCTACAAGGGTCAACTTGAATCCAGGTCAAAGGCAAAGTAAAACCCTGGTCAAGTCATCTTTTGGTCGACCAGACTCGCCGAGTTGGTCCGCCAACTCGTCGAGTCCCTTCGTCCACATAATACTACAACCCGTCCCCACTTGTCGAGTCTAGCAAGAGCTCAACGAGTTCACCTTCAACAACACTTCAGTCAATCTTCATCTGACTCATTGAGTTCTTCCTTGAACTCGTCGAGTTCATCTTCAACATATGAATGTGTCCAGTCTATGACTCGCCGAGTTGTAAGAACATGTGAAATCCCCATTTTCACAGCCAGAAAAGACTGATTTTGTTTATGCTTTATAAATTTCAGAGTATCTCTTAAAATCAAAATGTTGCGGAATTTGTTCCCAATGAAACATGATAAATACGTTATCAAAGTATTTCCGAAGAAAAGTATTTTTATTCATTTTAAAACATTTGGGATGTCATTGTCAATACGGGAACATAAGCATAAACAAAACTTACATTCATTATCACTAGTGATCTATATCTCCTTAATCTCTTAGTGTAATGTGACTTCATATCAACACATGTGATATAAATAAACTGAGTGGGTCAGGTTGGGAAACTTGGTGAGTACATAGGGCTTTCAACCCATAATAATATAATTATTATATTTAACCATCAAACAATCAACCCGATTACCCATCCCCATTATCTTCTTTGATATTCCTTAAAGAATTATCTTAAGGGTCATCTCCTATATCATATTTACCTCTCATATTTTTGTTGGGTTATGAGCATTCTAACACTCCTAAGTGTACATGCAACCCTAAATACCTTGGATCTATGTTTTCTCTATTATACATGCAAATATGAACATCCAAGGTATTATCCTAATCTAGCATACAAAATAATGGATATAACAAGATAGAATACATACCTCTTTGATAGTGCTTGTCTTCATGAAGCTTGAGTGCTTAGTGCCTCAAGTGTGACACCTCAAATGGTTCACACAACACCAAATACACTTGGAATAACTTGAGAGAAACTAGAACACTTCATGAAATCGGTTAGCCCTCTCTAGAATAATCTAGTGACCGATTTTGGGAAGAATAATATCTTTATATAGTGTTACAATTAGGGTAAACCCTAATTGTCATGACTTTCCATTTCCTTGGATCCATGGGTTCAAATACACCATGGAGCATCCATGGAGCATCATATGGGTTTTGGCCCAACTAGATAATCCATGGAGCATTAGCCCACTATATAAGTATGGA